TTACCCTTAGCATCAAACTTCACATATTTGAGAGATTAGTAAATTTCATTTCATAACAAATATACTTACGAAGGGGTGTGTTGTTACTCCTCCTGTCCTGGTGCATTTACCTACTCTACAGAGCTCCATCATCATATCCAACTCCCTCTATCACAACTTTTCACTTTTTGATCCATTCCTTAGGCGAGCCCATTTTAACGAGTTTAATGATAAGCAATCACATTCCAAGCTGATTTCTTCCACAATCCTATACCGGAAAGTTTATGCGATTTGGCCCTAGCATTCTGCGAACCACTTTCCCTAACTCCTGTCAGATTCTCTATCTTGCGCTCGACGGTCCGTTTCTTATCTGAATAGTTTACTTATTTCACTTAGAATGGACCGTATGAAATAATTCAAGTATGCAAGTAATATAGCAAGTATACAGACGCCACAGTGAGCAGTGCTCCGAATTGCTGATTCTCAAGCTTCATTATATCGCTCTAACGCTTTAGACTTCCGTAGGTCCACTTACCTCAATTCGCCAATCGTTTAGAAATCATGATCGAGTAGTGATTTCACGGGCATTTCTATGATTTAGGCTGTCTAATGTGAACCAGATGAACTAAGTCTCAGCTCCTGAGGGCATTTGTAATCAATCTAGCTACGCTTTAAATTGACAGTGACACTTTTCTACGGTGATTGCGTATATGCTGTTCCAAAATTTCCTGTTTAACAAGCTCTCAAATATTATTATTGGTTTCATGGATAGAATAAACCCATTGCAGTCTTTTATTTTGATTTTCCGTAATCATTCTTAATTGCGATCTATTTTTCTCAATTTAGGACGTCTCCGTACTATAGACTTTGCTAATCCCCTAATTTATTCGAGAATGCCGGAGAAATAAACAATGTTTTTTTTGCCAATTATCCCTTCTTATGTTCTCATGTTAATTAGGGTTCTTTCAGAAAATGTATCGACAGTCTCCTCAATCTTTATTTTGTATTCATTTTCACTGAAAAATACCAGTCGTCATATTATCTCCAACTTGATATCACATCATTTCCGTGCAATAGGTTCTTCACTTTTTAATCTATCTGCATCCATGGCTTTGCAGGATGTTGGGTGTACTTTCATTCTTATGCTGATTTTTCTTACTATTTAAGTATATTTTCATAAACTATATCTTACGACAGGTATTTTGCTACCAATATATTCTTTGTACCATTTTCACTAGGAAGCCTTTACTCAAAAACATCTGAGTAAACTAACTCAGCTCCACTTCCCAGAATTTAATGGCCATAAAGTAGATGAGGGATATCAATAAGTCCAAAGACCAGGACCTCGGAACCCTTATCGACAAGACTTTTTTACGCATGCTATAGCATGTTTAGATCAGGTCACGAGGAATAACCCATCGAGTATGACTGGATAGCGTGATGACGATGTCGATTGCGATGCCAATAAAAAGTCTGGGACTACTGCAACTCGATGCTCAGAAAGTTGGAAAATATCATTGTTACTAAGGCTAAAGACGCTGTAAGGTTACGCTAATCAATGTCTCCCTGATGCTATAAGTACGCTGCTAAACCAGTTTGGATCTATTCTATCGTTTAGTCACTTTTGAATAGAGGCAAGTCTTGAAGTGAAATTTGCCCTTAAAATAAATCTGTTGAATCGAATTTAAAAAGATTAACGGAAATTATATTTTTCACCATTTTTGCTATAGAATTATGGAAAGTCATTAAGTGAATCTCGTTATGCAAGCTGCAATGGTTTCTCTAAATTTATCTGAACTTTATCTTATGCAAACTAAATATTTCAATACAATTAAAAGTTGGGTTTCGAAGAATCTCTTGTTTTATAATTGTTGAGCTTACTTCAATTTCGAGTGGAAGTGTTGGGTGAAGAGATTCGAAGGTCGGTTCCACCAGAAG